CCCCCCCGCGAGCTGCACTCCCCCACCACCCATGCTGGTTTCTCCCGTTTGCGAAATAGCGGGTTTTCCCTTCGTCCCGAGCGAGCGTAAAGGGTTTTGTTTCATCAGCCCTCTGAAATAATTTGCAGCGACACCTCCCCCTCCCCCAAGACATACATTATGGGGTTTAGCAACCACAGGCTGTTGCGACACCGAGTTGTGCCTCCCGCAGTTTTGCTGCAAGTCAGGAAAAGGGGGGACCCCAGCCTGGCCAGGGTGCAGTGGGGACCTCACCAGTGCGAAAGCAAGCACCCATAGTGTCCCCCTTCCCTTGGCAGCACTGAGAGGCCAAGTTATGAGTTTTTCTGATTTTCATGAACAGAGAACTTTTTTCTTAAGTGCTATAATGTTTTAAAGGGTCAGTATTTACCTACTGTCTCCAGGTGAATTGTTCTGGTGATTTCATATGTTACACCTTCATATGGAAACGATGTCTTGCAGGTGTAATAGCCAGTGTCTGTTGGTAGCACAGAAGTCATGATCAGAGAAGTCGAACCTTTCAGTATTGTGAATTTTTCATTGTCGTCTTCCAGAGGCAGGCCATCCTGGAGAAAGGACAGCAGCGAGTGTTATGGTTCAGACAGCTGTGGTTACACACTGTCTAACATCCAGAGAAAATTACTTGTCCCTGTCTCTCTGTTATTAAAAGTTCACTTGACACTGGGAAATCTGAGCAGTTCTACTTTCCCACCAAAGGGCAACTTCTTCAAATATGTATCCGTCTCTAAAATGCTCTGAGGCACTATATGAAGTGAGAAGAATCACTGTCTATAATAAGTGTGCATAGCTTTTCAATAAAATCCACATTTTAAGATGGAAAAGACATGAAGGGCTCTTTCTTGACTCCTGTTAGGAATGATCATCTAAAACATTCTTCTAAGACAAAACTATTTTATCAACCATGAAGGTTTTCACAACACTATTACTTTTCATACATGACCTCATGAGAGTAATATTCTAAGGCAGTCTTTGAAGACAAATACTAGTAATCATATGGCTTTTCACAAAACTGTTGCTTGCCCTACATAATCTCATAAACTGTGATAAATTCCTACTCTGTGTCACTAAGGCTCTGTTCACACACAAGGTCAGAGCCCTGCTAGGATCAATTATGTACCTTCTCCATGAAGACAGCCTAGCTCTTTCTAACAGCTGTAGCAAGAACTATACTGGGGGATCAGCCTTTTGCTCAAATTAGTGGGTTATGTCTGGCTTCTGAAGGGAATCCTGAGCAGGATTTTTACTGGTATGGTACCAATCACAGCATAGTCACTGCTGTATGAAGCCAGCCTAGGGATTGCATCTCATGGTAAGAACGATGGCTGCATGAGGCAGAGCACACAATCATAGTGGGAGTGTAAGGAGAAACAGAAAGTGGGGATGTGTGCACCTTTACAGATAGGGTGGGATTAAGCTTTGCACAAAGAGGAGGTGAAAATTCTACCTTGTACCACTTGAGCTCCAGGCTTGTCCTATTCAGTGTAAAATCCCACAGGTCAGGGCAAACGATCTTCCCAGAGGTGAAAGTGAAGAGGACCTGGAGATAGGCAATCTCCCGAGCAGCTGTTTTCTCCACAACCGTGAGGTGAATGGAGACCTCGGCGCAGTAGGAGGAGTTCCTGCAAACAGAGTGGGGAGAGGTGAGCACCCACCAGCGACGAGAACTCGAGTGGCATCCTTGGTTTCCTCCTGGCTCCATTTCCCTCCTTAGCATGTTCTAAGAGGCCAAGACTGAGATCACACCAGGAGGGATCCTGGAAAATCACTGGTACTGGTTTTTTTGGCACAATATAAACATGTTGCTGACACATGTCTGCCTCAGAGCTGCAGTCTTGTCTTTTTGTACACAAGGTTTGCTGTGCACCCTTAGGCTATGGTATGATTTTAATTTTGCAAGAAGGGGGAGCATGTTCACCTGCACAGCAGCAAGTGTGTCATGGACCCTTTGTCGTTTCCTTGAAAGAGTCTTGACTGTGAAAACTCTAATGATTAGGACCAAAGGATGAAATAAAAAGCTTAAAGCATGTACTAGAATACATCTGCAGTTACTATTGCACAACTAGTAAGCGTTTATGTGAGTACATATTATTTTGCATAGAAAAGGAGGCATTCCT